TCTTCACTACGAGTGCTACAATGTGTTGGTCGATTAATATTTTTATTTTTTTATTTTTAGGTTAAACTTTCCTATTATTGCTACCATTATTCTGTTTATGAGTCAAATAACATACACACACACATACACACACACACATACACATACATACATACACAGCCCACACATTGCACACAGTCGACAGTTTAATCTGAGGTAAACTCCAGCTCGGGGAACACACACACACACACACACACACACACACACACACACACACACACACACACACACACCCCACTAGCGTTTGTATCTCTGGTCTTAACTGCATCTCTCTGTTATAAGACTTTGGAAAATAGATAATTGCCGCGACAAGTGTGCTGGGTAGTTGTCTGATAGTGGTGGTAGGAGTGGTGGTAGGAGTGGTGGTAGGAGGAAGAAGAGGCTTTACAAGTTGCTTCCCCAATGCTGGTATCAGTGGAAATTGTTTTGGGAGGAGCCATTAAAGAGCAAACTTTTTATCGGACCAAGAGGACAATTGGCACTGTAAATTAGACCACTTTTGAACACGACTCAAATGACAAAGAAAAAATTAAAGACAATCGTGTTCTGTTTATTTGTTTATGTGTTTGTTTGTAAGTACATTGAATTGTTAGTGATTAGTGAAGTAGTGTTGTTAGTTATTAGTGAAGTAGTGTTGTTAGTGGTTAATGAAACAGCATCGTATTAATAGTTACTGAGGAAGTGGTAGTATTATTATGTTAGCGGCAAGTGTTATGTGTTTACTAGTTTACATTAACATCATTAGCGTCAAGGAGATGTTTAGTGTTATGTAGTGGTGAGAACATTACTGTGTGACCTTAAAGACGTTCCTTGATGTTAGTGGCGCCGCCATTAAACTCTTGTTTTTACCTCCCCACCTCATTTGTGTTGAGGAGTGTCGTGTAGTCTTAAAACTAGACGAATAACAACGAAAACACGAACGATATTACATACATACATACATACATACATACATACATACATACATACATACATACATACATACATACATACATTACATACAAACCACAGACAGACACACACACCCTCAACCTGCTAACCTGTACGATAAATTGCATTAGACAAAACACTGTGTCATAATTTGGATAACATTTACCCTACCCCAGACACTCCAGGTGTTATCTTGAGTGCTATGGTGACGTTATCCTGGTGTTAAGATAGAGTATTACGTTAGTGTTATCCTAATGTTATCTCCGTGTTATCCTGGTGATAATGTGGTGTTTACGTTCGTGTTATTGTGGTACAAGTGGAAACTCTTATCACAGATCGTTAGGACTCAACCGGTGTGATTACTAACGCCTGAGGTGGTAAAAGACTCTCTCTCTCTCTCTCTCTTATTACTTTTTCCCCAGGGAGATATTCAGTAAAGCTCTCCTTTCCCTCCCTGTCTCTCACAATCACCGTCTCTCCCTCTCCCCTCCCTCCCCTTCCCTGTCTCATTCAACACCCTCCCTCCTACCCTCCCACCATTAAGTCCTCTCCCATAATGGTGTTCCCAAGCTTAATTTATAATAATAGTATTTTTTAGCGTTTTAATGAAGATACAGTACATGTTAGCCTTCACACACACACACACATACATACATATACATATACATACATACATACATACATACATACATACATACAAGCTTATATGTATAGATAAATACGGTCGCTTCAGAAGTCAGTGATGCAAGGGTTCGATATCCGTATTGACCGTCGCTGTGAACATGGGCCATTGTTGTCTCTTGCTTGTTACGTCCTGTTGGTAATTGGAGGACGGGGGATATTGGTGAGAGCCATTGCGGTTGGTGAGTTTTCCGGTCATCCTGGGGGGGGAGGAAGTTTCCTTGACATCGAGTTACAGACTTGGCTAACTATGGGGAGATGGGTGGGGAGATGGGTGGGGGAGATGGGTGGGGGAGATGGGTCCGGGGGTGGGTGGGGGAGGGTGGTGTTGTATTTGACCATCACACGGTGAAGTTTGTAGTTATTTCCTTTGGTGTGTGTTGTGTGTTCCGTACGACAGACATACACACACCAATCTTATAATCGTAAACATATATAATAAAATGAATAACAAAAGAAATAATTACAAAGAATATTTAAAAATTTTATTAACAATGAAAAGTGAAAAATATCGCTTGAAAAAAATCCCCGATATTAATAGAGTAAATAAAAGAGCAATATTCTGGGCACTATGGCAGTGTCTAACCGAGATAAATATTACTTTTCATTTGTACACTCCAATATTACTCTGTTATAGCACACAGCTCTCTCTCCCCTCCTTCCTTCCTTCCTCCTGCCTGCCTCCTCCCTCCCTCCTTGCCTGCCTCCCTTCCTCCCTGCCTGCCTCCCTCCCTCCCTCCTGCCTCTCTCCTGCCCCCCCCTCTCTCCCTTCCCTACCCTCCTCTTCTCTACCATACTGCTACCTCCATATCTCTCCCTTCCTCCCTGCTCCCTCCCTCTCTCTCCTTCCTCCCTGTCCACTCCCTCTCTCTCCCTTCCTCTCTCTTACCTTCATTATCTCTTCTTCCTTATTCATTCAGTTGTTAAAGAGAGAGAGAGAGAGAGAGAGAGAGAGAGAGAGAGAGAGAGAGAGAAATGAACACAATATTATTCTCATTACTTATAAACTTAAAACAATAACAAAACTAACTCCAAAAAAACAACCAAATTAACCTAAACCACAACAAAACAAACCTAGAAAAAAACAATAAACCTAAAAAAATAAACCAATTCTTTACGTTATCATATCAACAAAAAATAAACCACACAGACAGACACATAGACAAAAGAAGACGTATCCTTCGGTTTTCCTCTGGTTTAAGATACGACGACCCAACATTTCAACAAAAGTTCCTTAAAAACTCAATGAGGCGGAAAGACTGAGCCACAACAGGGAGTGATAAAGTGGGGTTATGTTATCGTCTCCATATGTTAACTTTTACTGGTCTTTATATTCACTTGGTTTTTTTTTTATCATGTATACGTCGTTGGTCTCTTATGTTGACTTTAGGTCTTGTTAATTATTGATGTTTGTAAAAATTATTATTATTACTATTACTATTACTATTAGTAGTAGTAGTAGTAGTAGTAGTAATTAGCAGTAAAAAAAATTAATATAAGGGTGAAAGTATTAAGTAGTGAGTAATTATGAGTAACTAATTACCTTGAGGTTGGGCGTCCCCTTCAGAGTAATGGATCTTATCGAGCAGGTGTCGTCCCGGAGGAGGAGCATAATGAATGGTAGTAGTTTGTGCCCTTTAGTACAGAGACCAACCCCTTCCCATCCATCACCTGCCCCTCGTTATTACCTGAGATACAACATTACAGGTATCTCCTATTGATTAATGTCGACCAATTGTTTGATATTTTATGAAGATATTTATGTTTTTGTGTAGTGTAGTGTAGTGTGAGTGTAGTGTGGTGTGGTGTGGTGTGTGGTGTAGTGTGGTGTGGTGTGGTGTGGTGTGGTGTGGTGTGGTGTGGTGTGGTGTATCATGAATGTATGTGTTTACTTTGTTGTAGGTGTAGGGGTGTAGGGGGTGTAGGGGGTGTAGGGGTGGGTATAGTTCTGTGATACTGTTGTTGACCAAAGTTTCATAACCATTTTATTGCTCAATCTGTATAGTTTATTACACACACACACACACACA